ATTTTGAGGAAACTCTTTCAATTCGTATAAGACGGATATATCTTTTCGAAATTGCGAAAAAGTGATTGATATTGGGTAATATCAGAAATTTGTAAGGGAGAAATTCAAAGTTTTTAGTGTGAATTTAATAATTTTTAAAAATTGGATATCCTCGTTTTTATATCCATTTCTTTCGAGAACGTAGTGATTCACTTTTAATTTCGCGTAACTAGTTTTTATTTGGAAACGATAACAGATTTGTAATGTGGCACAAAATTCCCTGAAGAGAAACTGTGAAGAATAATTTTTATTTTTAATCGTGAATTTAGAAGAAAAAAGAAAAAAGAATTCGAAGGAGTTGAAGAGGTAAATGGTAACAATTTTTTAAATAAATTGCGTTTTGGATTATGTTGGTTATGTTGGATTTATTTATTTTCCGCGAATAGATCGTAGAAAGGTAATAATATTCGATCCTACGTGATTCAATGGCGGATAGGTTGGTGATCTTTGCAGGAAAGCCCGTGTCCGAGCATTTCGTGGCTTTATCATTTTATCCTATTTCATTCCGTTTTATACATTTCTTTTCTTGATCCCTTGAGTAATACGTTTTCTCGAAATACGAGTAGGTATATTGCAATTCGTGTAATTTGGATAGATTTTAAGGTAAAACTGTAAATTAAATTTCACAATTACGAATTTCTGGTAAGAAAGTTATTTTAAATCAAATTTTACCATTGCAACAAAGTGTGGTATTATGAGAAGAAGAATAGAGTATCTATTTAAAGTTATATCTAAATTTTTGAAATATTTTATTATTATTACTGTCTAAATTTTTCGATTTATATTCACAATTGCACGCGATTTCAATCTATCCGCCAAATTTCCACGATTGAAATTATCTTCGAGGCTTAAAAGTTACAATTCAAGCAGAGTGTTCAAACCGCGCAAGAATAAAGGCTAATTTGAGGTGAGAGGGAAAGAGAGGGTGATAGGTCTCTGATAGGTCTCTCTTTCCCTCTTATCTCAAATTAGTCTTAATTCACTCTTTTGGCCAAGCTCTCTCGTGCAGAGAAGCACGACGATTCCACGTAATTAAATTATTCGCGGTGGCGCGCGTTAAATTATCCAGCGGGGGGATTTCATCCTACCTGCGATCCTGAGAATAAATGTATTTCTTTGCAATTAAGGGTAAAATTACGTTTATCCAGCCTCATTAGGGATTCTTGGCCGGGCCTCGTCACAAAAAGGAAATGCACAATGTTCTTTAAATTGGCTCTCTGTGATAATCTCGAAGGATTTAAGAAAAATAATCTTTTTAAATTTCGAACGCGAGATTTCATTCTTAAAAAAAATAATCCTTCCAAGATGTGAAAATATTTAAATTAAAAGATGCGATCGAAAGATATTAAAAGAAAAAATTTTCTAGCGTCTATAATTTTTGGAAAATATTCTCGCAGGTAGATCGATGGATTCTCTCTTTAATCGAGGCTTTTCTTCGTATACGTGCCATCTCTGATTAAATTAAATATAATCGCCATGTTGGATTTATAAATTTTGCATGCGCAATATTGCTGCGCGAGTTTGCTGCGCGCGCATCCGATTGATTATACCAATTCAGTTTCGTGCAATTGTGCAAATCTGCACGCGTGAAATATTATTTCGTATTATATATAATAGTGTAGAAACGGTGTTTTTTTGGTTATGAGATAAAGAGATGTATGATATTTACAAATAAGATAATTTTTCTTACATCTATATATAAATAACTATTTAGATATATCCAATTGGAAACAATAGATGAAGTAAAGTATCATAACCTCAATTTCTAATATGTAATTTATTTATTTTATCTTTTAATTTTTTATGTGTTTTATGTTTTATTTATCTTGATTCTGATTCGTTCGATGTTTCTTCGATGAAAAATACATTCATTTCCCTGTATTAAAATTATAAATAAAGATTCTTGAAATTTAAATTTTAAATCACTTTTTATTAGATATATATTAGAACAATAGAGATTTAGAATGTTATGTTTTTATAATTGATGAAAAAGTGCAGATATTTTTTTATGTTTATATTATTTTAATTCTGATCATTTATATACAAAATATTTAGATACATATCAAAATTTTCTTGATAGAATATGTATAATGTGTTTTATTACTCTTAAAAAAGTTCAAATGCTTGAAAAGAGCAAGTAACACAATTATTCTTGATGAATATGACACGAATAACGTGCTTGTTCTCACGTGTAGAAAATTCGGTGCTGATGAAAATGTTGAAAAGTTATGCGAAATTCGACAAATGGCTCGTTACTTTGATGAAGTGGAGGGAAAAAATGAAAGAAAAAATGTGTTACACCCGCTCTTGAAGGAATTATAAAAGCTACGCTCTTGTATAATCTCTTCAAACTTTATTTTGACCTTTGCTTCTATCAGATTTATCAAAAAAGTTTGTTCTTTTTATGATAAGATCTCTTCTTTCTTCATTTTTTCTTTTTTCGTTTGAATTATTGTTGTATTCTTGTACAGAATTTATTTTTCTCCAAGTAAATTTTTTATTATTCACATTATAATAATCAATAATTTTTTTCTTTTCTCAATGCAAATTTAGGTTATATTGTGGCAGTTTTTTTTATAAGGAAATTTTATTTAATAATTCCTTTTTTTTATTAGAAACATGTAACAAAATTTTATCTCTGAATATTAAGTTATTTATAATATACTTATGAATTTTAATTTTCTCATTTATAGGTTTTTTAATTTCTTAATTATAATGCGAAAATCTTATTTCTTCTTTAATATATTTTAGCAATTAATTAACATTAACATTAACATTAATAATTAACGTTTGACAGGAAGTTTTCCAGTGTATGCGCATAGCTTTGTGAATATCCTCTTTCGCATTTATTTTCATTATCGAGGTAAAAAATTTTAATGGAATTCCGGTGCAACAATTTTTTTTGCGAGTCTGTGATAACATCGCATCCGTGAATTGCGTGTAGGTTGATGGCTGCATGCAAATCCCGGGAATTTTTTTCCATTATTCTGCGAAAAGAGCAAAACATATATATATATATATATAATATACATATACATAGTATACACGAATAGAGTGTAATAACAAATGAAAATAATCTTGATTTAGTCTGTTTCATTTTTTGAGCAAATTTATATTATGAATATTTAATGCCGATGATCCACGTGTATTCTGCGAAATTGATAATCTGATAATTATAACGATTAATTAAAAGGAGGAAAGGTTAAAATCGGTTATCGTACGAATCATGCAAATATATTGCAAATCTTGATAATTATTTTAACAACGATTTATCTTAAATGAAAAATCTAAATGATAATCTGCATGCACATTTCAAAGAATCGACTATAATTTTATTGTATTTTATATTTTAATATTTCCAAAGAGATATTAAGTACGACTATTTAATAATTGCAATGTCCTATAAAATATATATATATTTATATCCATTATTTTATTAAAATTAATCATAAAGTTTCTGAAACTCAAACAATATTTGTAAAAAAATTACATAAAAAAATTAATTTACAATCATCTTCTATTCACTTGTCACATTTATCCTAATAATTTATCCGAGATATATTATTACATTGTTAAAATTAATCACGAAGCTTTCAAAACTCGATATTTATAAAAAAAACTCTAATAAAAAAAATAATAATAAAAAATTATAATAAAACTTTTTTTATAAACTCAATATTTATAAAAAAAAAAAAAAAAAATAGACGAATAGGTAGAGAACGAAAAAGGGGACAAAAAAAATAGAAGCAACAGTTCAAAACATGGCGGCACACGATGCATTCGAACTATGGCTGGCTAGCATTTCCTTCACCCAACCCTGCACACAGCTCATCAATATTCCCCTACCTAACCTAACATTTGGTTCGTTTGGCCCGAATAACCGGCTTACCTTAGGGAGGGGCGGGAAGTTGAGAGGCAATTGGCCTGTCCGGGCGATGCATTTTACCTATGATCATTTCTCGGTCGAAGGAACGAGGATCTTGGGTCTCGTGGTTCGACCTGTAAACACTGGAAACCCATTTCCGTCTACGTTGGACCTGGCGAAAAACTGGAATGCGTGTCTCGTAAAGTGAGCGCGAGGAAGTGTTGCATCTATCAACCAATTTCCACGATATCGTATGTACCAGAAACTCGAAACACCTATGGGCAAAAGGTGTACACTTTCAAACGAGTTTTTATGAAGGTGGCTCGGTTACGTGATTCTGTCAGCGATGAGAAAATTTGAAGCAACTGTAAAAGTTGGAATTAACCAGCAGTAGGGATATGAGAGAATATTTTTAATAAGTCGAAGTTTATCCTTGTTTCATCGTAGATGCTACATTACGGATGAATTTAACGCCAGGTTTCGCGTGGATGTCGGAGGATCTTGTTTTCATATTATTAAAATCCCAGAGGGTTGAAACTTCAGTTCACTTTGTATACAGAGTGTCCCAAAAATGTTAGGATATGTTAATTGAAATAAAATGATTTCGTTGTGCAAATATCACTGGTGAATCACGAAGACTAGTCAAACTATAACGATAATTGGATATGTATCGTTAGTCGAACACGACAAACAATACATGTCGAAAAAATCTATTGAATATAATAAATATTCTTTCAAATTTCTTTTTATAAAAAAGAAAATTATTCAGAAAAAATAAATAAACTAATTAATTATAATTTCTATAAAATAAATTCGATTAAACGAGTAATAACAAATTGTGGTATAAAAAGATGAATGTAAAACTTTTCTAATAAATTATTACATATTTGGAAGAGAAAGAAAGAGAAGCGTAATAAAAAAAAAAGTGAAAAAGAATTGATAAATAAGGGTATGAAGTGAAATTGATAAACGAGCGAGTAAAGAGGAATTGATAAAGGAAGAGAAGAAGAAGAATGAAAGAGTGAAATAAAGGAGAAGAGGATAATAAAGAAAAAGAATTTTATACGAATAATTCATTAGTTTATTCATTCTTAAATTTTTTCATTTAATTCTTAAATAAAATTCGATATAATTTTTTTTGATAACAAAATATTTATTATTCAACAGACTTTTTTCGACAACTATTGCTTGGACTTCGTGTTCGGCCGACGGCACATATTTCATCACTAACATCATGGCTTGAGTGATTTAGAACTCGTATTAACTAGTAATTTTTGTAATAAATATATTAATTTTATTAATATCACATTAACAAAGCTGTTTCGAAAGATTTTTCAAAAGAAAATGTTGCTTGAAATTATCTCAGGAATCTCCAATTTCCTACATTTTTGGAACATTCTATATTAAAAATTTACAATACACTATAAACTAATAGTTTGGAATTATTTAAATATCACATGAAAAGTTCAAGAATTTGAGAAAAAGTTAGATTAGAATTAAATGATGTCAGAAAATTAAGTGAAATTACTCGATCTTTATAGAATGTACAATTTATACAATAGCTTAAAAGTTATAGAAAGTTTATTTTTCTATATTTGGTTCAAAAATTAAAAAACGCGAAAGAAAATCACATAATTTAATAAAATGCACTCAGAATGATAAAACACTTGTATTACATCAAATTTCACGGAAGGATTATTTATATTATCTGAGCGAAGACATCCTTTCTTCTGAGGATTAGGATCTTTTTATCCGCATTTAAATATGCACTTTCCTCAGTCCATCTTTGCGGTACATTTACTATGTATTTTACATTCGTCGGATTCGCGTACATTTCTAGCTATGTTTTCTGGCGTGCACGGAAATTTCCTGTTTAGATATTGAGCCCGTGGCGGTTACACAGGGCTGATTCCACCGTGCTGCTCTATCGTTGCTTGCTTCCCCTGGCAGGAACTTCTTTTCGAGTAGTAAAGCGGCTTGTGCACTTTCGCGGGATACATAAAGCGAAACGGCGAGAGGAGGTAAAAGAATTGTCGATATATATGTTACTATGTTCAAGTACGTCTGCGCGGTTAAATACGTCGAATGGTCGAGCTTTATATCGAAGCGATATACTACTCTCGTGCCATTGGTGGCTAGCCTTCTTCGGGAATATATCGAACGAATCGAAACGAAATAGCCGAATGAAAATAAATTCGGCCCGATATCGAGTTACTTTGCGAACCACTTGAAGAGTGGTGCTCTTCAATTAATCCTTTTTCGAACGAATTCAAGCGAAACATCTATATTTCATAATTGCGGTGAAATGAAACAGCTGGATGTCATTATCGACTGATTGCTCCGATCTCTTGAATATTTTTACAGACATTATCTTTATTTTCCTCCTAAAAGAAAAAATATTTATATATATATAAATCATAAGTATATTCCATAATTGAATATATTAAAATTATATAAATGATTAAAAAGTGTTGGTATTATACACTAAAATTCATTTATGATATTTATTGTGGTATTAGTTATTGTGATAATTAGTTATTAATAATATAGTTAGAAATATTTTTAAATTTTATTAAATTTGCATTTATATTTCAAATCGAACTTGATTCGAAAATAATCGATCGAAGCTGTTTTCGTTTGTTTCATTAGTCGCGTTCGAAGTTTAATGACGCGAGATTAACCTAACCTTTTAATACATAACATATTATCGTTCCTTTTACAAGTTTATTCTCTTAAACCGACTACCCTTATCTACCTTTTACAACTCGATAAGTAAAAAAAAAAAATTAATTTGCGCTTTAAATGAACTTATAATAGCATTATTTGTTTTATTTTACACGAGGATACGAATTGCACGAAAAAATGATCGACTTGTGGTCTTTTTCTACAGTCGGTTTAATGAGCTGACATGCTGTCTTCTTATTGCTCGTTTCTCAGTTTTCTTAATGTTTCGTTTTCTGGCATAGACTTGCGTATTTCTTTTTATCATGAACCAAACTGTACCTTGACTGTCGCTTAATACATATTTTATCCAAGTTGTGAATGTTAAATTGCATAGTTCGTTGCTAAAGACTTGCGTTTTGCGTTTTTTACCACAAACTTTCGGCTTATGGGGATTATTCCGCCCAGTTTCCAAGTTGCAGTGCCTAGTAAAATGTACGATAACAGATAGATAATATTATTCATTATATGCTCGAGCTTTTCTCCAGTGAATATATTATCAGAGGTTATTCCAGTGAACCCAGTGAGGCGAGTAATTTCACATACTAAGAATACGTCATAAATTTCTTTAAATACTCGAACTCTCAATCTTTCTTCGTCTTTGGCTAACTGTCATTTTCAACGTTCGCATCAGCAAAGATAAAATAAATATCGAATTTCATATTCTTACAGCTAGATATACTTGTGAGTTTATAAAAAATAAATACAATTTAAAAATACATTCCGAATTACTTGTTAAAAGAACATGCAATGCTTTTAAATTAAACTATGTAGATTATAATATCAAAAAAATAAGATTTATAGATATAATAGATATAATATCTTCTTTCATTTCTATAGAATAACAATTACTATATTTATACTATCTCATTTATTTTTTAATTAGGAATCGCTAATTATAATACAGTCGTAAGAAAAATAAAAGATGAATTATAGTTTCCGATATTACATCTTATTTTTACATATACAAACATCATTGAAATATTAAATAAGTTTAAATCTCATGCAATTTTATATCATTCGAAATTTCTTACCCGTTAGCTCCTTTCCGCAAAAAATGAAATATTCTTTCATTATTATTATATTATATACAATTATTTCACAGGAAGTTTTTCTCTATTATTGTCGTCCAGAAACCTTGTTGGCCAACGAATCAGAATATCAAGGTTAACGAAAAAAGGCACATCACTCTTGTTCACAGTCGGCACGCGTATTAAATATTCATGGTGTATATAATGGTATATATACTCAATAGAATTGAGTAGGTGTAACACTATTTAGTAACAATTGACAGGCAGATGGTCAGAGTAGGGATAGAAAAAGTGGCAAAGTCGCCATATTGAATCAGAGTAATGAACAAGCTGATGTACGCGTGCGCATATCGCGCTTCGTGTATGCCATATCGTGATGTATCGAGTCAGTGAACATCGATCGATGTTTAATATTCGATCTGGTTAGTTTATTTTATTATGTCGATTTTTCCCGCGTATTAAATACATATTTTTCGTTTGTGTCAATCGATAATTAGTATTATTTATTGTTTGAAGATGAGCTGTTGGAGCAACGAACATTGTAAGTTCATAAATAAAGATTATATATTCTTAATTAATAAAATCTAATTATTGAATTAGATTTTAATTCCCTGGAAGGTTATGTATATTCGTCAATCATTTGATGGAAAAAACAGATATATTTAAATTATGAAAATTTTTATATATTTAATAATAAATTTATTTAATAATAATGAATATATATAATATTATATATAATAATATATAATAATCTGTAAAATTTTTATAAAGATACATATTTTATATAAATTAATGTTAAAATGGAAATCAAAGATTTTATTAATTCTTGGCATTTTTTCAATTTTTGAAAAGTATATTATTTATTTATATTATCACATACTGCAATATTTCATATTTCCATTTGTATTTGTTACATAAAAAAAATCATATACAATGATCGAAAGAATTCCGTCACAGATTGTCGTACGAATGATGACAAGCTCATTGATCGCAATCATAAATACATTTTTACCATAAATATATTTTAATGGAGATATCTAATGAGAAAGAACCGAAGTAGTCAAATACAATCAAATCTTATAGAAAAAATGCACGCCTTGCCGTTACGGATATATTGCAAAAATTTGTTTCATCACAATCATTATTTGACACAATTTTTGGAAAATATATATTTTATTTAAATCTTACGTGATAAGAACTTGATATTATTTTTTTTTTGTTAAATTTTCAAATATTCAAATATAATTTAATTATATTGCAGTTTATATTAATTATATTTAAAAAAATTTCTTTTAATATATAAGTTAAATGTTTTCGTTTTAATAAGATTTAAAAATTTAAGTATTAGAATTAATATTTTATTTTTTTGTTTCAGATGAGTGTATCAACATTATCAAAAGCGAAAATTTGGCGGTCCAGCATCCAATGGGTAAGTCTTCAAATCAATATTAATCAAAGCAGATATTTACGATTATATTCTGCGTCAAATTCTCATAAGAAAAAACAAAATATTATTCTGATAGAGTTTATCAAATTTTGAATAAAAAGAAAACACAATAAATCAATAATTGCACAAATATCAGACAAAAATCAAAATAATATTAGATTAAATAATACTAAAAATTTCTTTTCTTTATCCTCTTTTCTCGAAATTCACTATTTATTTCCATGATTTCTTTTCAATATCTTTGAAAACTTTTCTCTTATTGACATAACCTCACCATTTTCAATTATTTTTCATTGAAGAAATATTTACGTTAAAAATAATAAAAATAAAATGTAAAAATTCAAAATAATGATTCAATTTCAAAAATTGCAAATGCAAAAAAATTTCCTAAGAAAAAAAATAAAAAATTGTATAATAAGAAAACAAAAAAAAAAAAGAAAATGAGAATCTTCGTAAACTGTTTGAATTAATGGTTATCAACCATTATTTCATAATCAAAATTGGTTATCAACCGTGGCACGAAGGTGTTGGACCACTTTCAGAATAATTTCTATCAAGGAACAATCGAGAGGAAGGAAGCGGGCTATTTTTGTGGAACAGATAGGTCAAGAAGTTGCAAGACGAGTGATGGGGCAAGCGAAGACGCGCGCATCAAACGAACGAGAGGATTGGTAAAACGTTTCGGCTTTCTATGTAGATCAGTTGAGACAAAGTAGAAAGAATCGCGTATCTATACGAACCATCACACTGAAAATACTTCTCGGGAAATAGCTTTTCAGAAATTGCTTTACGATATAGAAATAATCGTCAAACGAGCGAGCGACCAACCGACCAGTCGACCAAGGTTCGAAACATGGCGAACGAAGCATAAAAAATTTTTCTAGATAATTTAATCATACGTAGAAAAGAAAAGCACATAAAAAAATTTCATGATTTTCGTTGATATTGAATTCGCTATTAATTAAAAACATATATTTTGTGACACGAATTAAATAAATCATTTATTTAAAGGAAACAAAAAAAAAAATTTTACTAGATGAAGAACTATATGCAAGAAGAACTATGTGCAATTATTACTAGTAACACTTATGTTTAAATAGAAGAGTAGACTATACAACACGAATTCGAACGACTCTAGCCGAACTTGGACGAATTAGAAAAAGAGAGATATACTATTTCTAATTGAAATATTTATTCGTTATAAGCTCACAGTGTAACATCAGCCACGAACACGAATATGTATTTTGTAGAATCATAAAATTCTATTTTTATTTTATTAGAAACGATGGCTAGCGAAAACTCAACCCAAATTTATTTAAAGAAATTTATTTTGTATTGTGTGAAATTATTTGTTTCATTGGATTCAAGTTAGATTCTATCAACTGGTGGGGATGATTCAAGCAACGAACGAATACTACGTATGTTTGCCAAGGTCCAAGGTAATAACTAACATGATCAATTTCGAAACTCTTCATTTAATTAAATTGAAAGCAAAAAACAGTTGCACTGCGACAATTTTCAATGTTATGGATATATTTATTTAGAAAGCAAATTGAATATCCGTTCGATTCTTCGTTTCGCATTCGGTAGCACATAGTCTCAGCTTTTATCCGATAACAACTTCGTCCGATATCCAATTTGGATGGATACACAGTTGCTTGGAAAGGTCACGTATTCCGAACGACGCTGCCGCTGCGTATTACCCGGAATAAAATTTGATGGGGCTACGGTAAAGGACTGCGGAATTTTCGAATATGACGAATGGACCAGCGCGATAGTTCCCTTGTAATCTTTGGTCCTTCCTGTTTTATGAACTGGTCGTTCGTCATTCTACACGATTCTTCGACTTACGAATATGACACCCGAGTTAAAATGTAATATGACAATTATCTTGAAAAAGTAATATTTACTTTTGACATTTCATTGGGAGTACACAATGTTCTCTATATAAGGTATCAAATTCTTTATATTTATTCTGTTATAAATTGTTGAAAAGAAATTCTGTGGGATAGACAAAGAGGAAATTTTCTTGTTTCATTTAGTAAAGTGGTTCTCAATCTGTAAATTGATTTTATAAAGAGATCATTTTAATAATTAATATCATTACTTTTAATAATACTTTTAATAATATTTTAATAATATTTTTAAACTAAAAATAGTAGAACTAGTTATTCTACGATGGAAATGATCCTCTTTGTCAATTGAGAAATTATACATGTTCTATTTTTAACAGTGTTAAAACGGATTTTCAGATGATCGAATGGCATGTAATTATTTGAATCTAAATATTTCAAAACTCGATCTTTTTTTATTTAAATATTCACCTTTCATCTTCAAAAAAATGAAATTCACGAAATTCAACACGTGCAATATATTCCCCTTGAAACGTGTCCTCGAGTCAAGAATCGCATCAGTGTTCCTATCACGTAAGTCAACAACAATGAACAAAAAAAAACGAGAAAAATATAATCAAGATTCGATTCTACTCACACCAGTAAGCGGATATATCGTATTGCAATCTCGAAAATCGACAAAGAAAGAAGTAAAAGAAAAGGGAGACATCGTGTCATTCGGTAAAAAAAGAAAAAAAAAAGGAGAAAAGAAAACTACGATGTGCTCGGTCTCCAATACAAAATGACATGGCGGTTGCATTGGGCAACAGTGTCGAAATTGCAGGAGCTTCGCTTCCGCTGGCTAGAGATTGGGCTGGGTCTCTCTCCCGACAAAGAGCACACCCTGTACACGTCGGTACAGAGGAGTTTCGCATTGATCGGCGGCCAGAAGAACAGCCTTGCTCTGATTGGCTATCCCAGACCATGCGTCCTTGTCATGTCTATGGTTTTTTGACAAGGTAGGAAGGTGGAGAACCTCACTTCCGAGCCGTCTAGCTGGCTTCCGCTGGTTGAACAGCAACCGTGAGCCCGGCCAAAACGATCGACGAGGAGGGAGTTATTCTTTAAGTTAGAAGAAGATAATAAATACACGGCCAAAAGGAAAAGAGGAAGATGGCAATATGAGAAGTAAGAGTAGTGGGAGGAATAAGGATGGATGCTGTTTCAGCCTTGCTCTGAAACAGGCGGTGAGACGAAGATATATAGTAAACAAAATGGAAAATAGGTGGACCATTATCATGCGTAAGTTGCGTACCAGATGATTGAATTGCTTTTAAAGAAAAAGAAAGAAGAAAATATTTCGATTTCTCTTGAAATTCATTCTTATCACCCATTCTTTTACGAACAGCTGCTCAGCTGCTCTTTCATTGGTTCTTTTTTTTCTTTAAGTTATTACTTTTTTATTTTTAATCTTTCCTTTGCCATTATATTCATTCATTTATTTATTTATTTATTTATTTATTTATTTATTCATTCATTCATTCATTCATTTATTTATTTATAGAAAAAATTTGTTGGTATGAGGATATTAAAAAATATAAGGAAAAACAAAAAAACGTATATCGATATATTATTAAGATATTTTTCTTGACATTTTCGAGTTTTTGCATTGAAATTTATAAAAGAATTATTTATTTTAATTCAGCTTATTCAATATACTTAAATGTAAAATTTAAATATAGAGAAAAAAATATATAAAAATTATTCCTAATAGTTATTTTAGTAATTTATATGAATTACTATTAACTATAATATACTTAATATGCATTTATATAAATCTTTCGCTGGATTATATAGATAATTGTGCATAATAATCGTACAACAAAGAATATATGTTAAGAATCACAAAAATAAATTGAGAAAAAAAAAAGAAATTCATTATCGAAAAAAATAATCGTGAGATCATAAATGATGATCCAGAGATAATAACGAGAATGTATTATCTTAAAGAAACTTATCATTAAGAAGTTGATTGACGAAGGGATTTCTTTAAAATATGTGAACGAAAGAAAAACGAAACCAGAGTTATTTTGGTGAAGCGATTTGATGAAAATGGAAGTGTAGAAAAGGGATCACGTGTATCGAAAGCAGGAAATTGTTTCTTATCTGCGTCTTTCGAGTCGCTGTTCAGTCGGGAAGAGGATTCTCTCGAGAGTTTTCTAAAGAACGTTTAAACGTCTATCGTCGCTCGGTGAACCGATTTTACGCGACAGCTTTCTCTGGCTTGTCAGGAATTCTTTTCCAATTTATCGCTCGTTTTTTCGTTCCTTTCTTTCGTTCCGATCGGCATGTTGAAAAGGTCAGATAAGATAGAATAAGTTATCAGTGTTTGATGATGCATACCTTAGTAAATATAATATTTTTTTTTAATATGAAAATTATTGCATTTTTTTTTGTAGATAGATACATTATTAGCGAAAAGTTTGGGAGCGTTTTCCTTTTATTATTTGTATCGAATTATCTTATAATTTTGTTAATTTTACTTTAAATTATTTTTCGTTATAGAAACATGGATATTCTCTAGCTCAAAAAATTAATAATAATTTTTTTTATTCGATATTCAAAAAAAGAATTTTTCTAAAATGAAATTTTAACCTAATTTTTTCCCCCAAATTCTTTGATTCTATGGAATATTTTTCTAATTTTCTTCCAAAATTTTTGGATTTTATTTATGTTAAGAATGTTATTTATGTTAATAACTTCAAATTAACTTTTTTTTTAAATTCTTGAATCCTAAAAAGGTCGACGTAATCTTGTAATAAAAATAAATTTAATTGAATACTATAAAACATTCAAAGACCCAGAAACAGTCGTAAAAATACTGCTTTTTTTTTTCTTTTTGGATCATGACAATCGAAATTTTTATTCAGCCCATCTTATCAGACGAAGCACTTTTTCGTAACAGTGGGTGGAATGCATAGAAAAGATAGAGAAAATCAGCATTTCAGTTAACTCTGGCAACTCTTCTACCGTTTTCGCTCAATGAAATGATCTTCATCCCTACTCTTATTAAACCGGCTTTTCATGTTTTGAAAATTTTATTCCTTGGTCGATTATCTCTTTTTTTTGGTCTACATATGAATGAATATGCATATCTCAGCTCTATAATATCGATATTGATTTAATGCATCAGTTTAGATCATTTTCGAAGTAAAAATATCATAATTATCTTTTCGTCCTTTTTTTTCTTTTTTTTTTTTTAGATTTATCGAATTATATAAACAAACAAATAATTCAGTAAACTTTTTGCAAAAAGAGAATAAAAATTGAAGAATCGTGAGAATATTATCTATATCGCGTTATGAGAGGTTAAGTTTTTATTAATTATTTTTACGAGCATTTAAGGAATGAGATTTGAGAAAAAAGAAATCCAAAATGTCTGTTAATTTGCTTATGGCGATCGCATATTGAGATATTTATATCTGATAAATTATAATTAATCAGATCGACGATAAAATATAAAAATAAAAATGATAAATTTTACATTGAAAATCACAAAAATCGTAATTAAAATTTAAAAATCTGTTCGAAAATAAATTAACCAATATCGCAATATATTAATTCTACCATTAATTGCACAACGTACATAAATTTCAAAATTTTTTTCTTTTTCCAACTCCTTTTTACACTTCTCCATTCCCTTTTTTCTTTCTTTATTTTCTTTTATCGTTTGTTTAAGAACCACTTGCCATGTTTGTTATTACAACCAAGTTAATCGTCAAACTTTATCAATGCAGTTAATAAAATTGTACATAATTTGGAATAAAATTCTTCGTGCAGGCAGCTGTTCCAAACCAATAATGGCGTCTTGTCTCTTTTTATGTGACTCGCGATCAAGATTCTTCATCCCGCGATGGCCTTGTACAGGAGTTGTTTAAGAAATCGTAAATAACTGTCTTAAGCCAACCGGTCTTATTAATATTCCAATGAAATGGAGCAACGATGAAATTACAACCTCGATCAGAAAGACAGGAAATTGAATTCGCGTTTTACTTTTTTTTTTTTTATTTATATTTAAAATAATTCAATACTCACTCGTAATCGTAATATTTCTTAATCCGAATTGCTTTAAAAAAATCTTTGAAAAAATTTAAATTTTGTTTTAATAAATATTTATAAGGATATTTATTATATAACTAAATAATAAATATATAAATAGTAAATTTATTTTTCTTTTTTTTTTTTATAAAACAATATATTTTGTGAATATAAAATATATTTATAAATATATTTGGTGAATTTTATTAATTTTAAAAAAATATAATAAAAAATAATTTTCTATTATTAATATAATTTCGATTCATTGTAATAATCGAATCTTCCCAAAAGGACGAAATGTATTTTTTATTTTCAAATTTTCAAATATCTATTTCTCTGAATTTAAAAATTCCATTTTCAAACTTCTCAATTCACGAGATTCTACGGAAATCCTAGAAATTGTGCAAGGGCGATCCATTCACGCCCTGTCTAGGGCCTTTTATTGATTAGCTACCGAAAATTTCCGCTGACCAATGCACGTGGCGCCATCTTTGGACGAGCTCCCTAGTCAATTTTCAGGTTTCCAGGGTTGATGGAACGAAAGGGGTGGCGACGTCCAGCCAAGAGAGTAGGGGACAATGAATCAGGGTGAAGTGGGTTGAGACGTGGCGAGACGGGTCAACCAGTCGAGACTTGGATCGCTCCAACAACCCCTACTATTCTACCAACGAGACTAAGAAAGGTATTGGGGAGGTAGGCTAGTATCGATCCCTCTGTATCCACGTTACACGAGGAGTTTGAAATTGGAATTTAGCCCTAGACATATCGACAATGTGATTGTGGAAGAGTTACTCTGTCATTACAGTGTGTTTTTTAATTAAATTATTTGTTGTTGTAATTTTTAATAAGATTCTCTTGATGATCTTAGAATTATTTTCTTAGGTTTAATGAAATTATTGAAAATTATTTCTAACGTTAATGCCAATAAATATTTTAATGGAAATTTTAAGATTTAATGATAGATATTGAGGATCAGGTAAAATATTTTTATGGTTTTTTTTTAAGTTTGAAAGAATGATGAAAGAGTTGAAGATCAATCATTTTTCGAAATTGTAAAGTTAGAAATGTTGTTAATGAAAATTTTAACATTTAATAATAATAATTTAATTCACATAATCCATTAGATTATAGATATAATAGTTTTTTTGGATATTGAATGTAAAGATGTTTAAATTTTTGATTTTCCGAGGAATAATTGTAATTAAAAATTTATAATTTCAAGAAATATTTAACATATTGAATAAATATAAGTAATAATATACAGAATATTAATATATTCAAAAATATACAAAAATAGTAAAGATTTAGGCTTGTGTTAGATGAAATGGGATAAAGAATAAAGTAGACTATCTTTATCATGTTGACGTCGCATATCTTCGTCTTACTTCATCTAACACAAACTTCAATTACTTATATCTTGTGATTCACAAGACGCAACAATTTATTCCATTATTTCCATAATTAATTTTTTATTTAATTTCCTAATAATAACATTATCATTCCACTATTTAAAAAAAAACGGCTTGTATCATCTTGACCTGAATTCTCGAAGTAAGAAATCTCCACTTTCTGTGAAAAAATTCCATCGATTCAATAGAGAGGAGTCCAGTAGTATTCTCATGTATCAAAGTGAAAAGATTAAAAACGGAAGGGAAAGACATTCTTCATAATGGTATTCTAAACTGCGGACATTGTCATAAATATATTAGCAATTTTTAATCGGCAATTAGATTTTAATCAAAATTTAAATAAGTACTTACATAAAAATTTACATTCTAATTACATCCTTATTGTGTCCTTATTATATCCTTATTATATCCTTATTATATCCCCTGTTAAAAAATATATATTTTCAAAATCACATATTAGAGAGGTTACACTATAATATTAATCTATTATCGTGTTAATACTAAGAAAAAGAAATTACGCATCTCCATACCTGTAATTAACATAACAAAGAAATCAGTTATAATAGAATATTTAAATTTTATTCTTATATCGTGCTTAATAAAATGCTAATATTCACTTTTTAATTTATCACTATATCTTCCGAAAAAAGATAAAACGGATCGATCCACGTGTTGTAACGAATCTAGAAACGTTGCCTCGTGTGACACAGGCTTAGCTACAAAGTTTGAGACTTGACTGTTAGATGGCGCCACCAATCAGTCGTCGCTTGGAAGTGGAATAGTCCAGTCCTCGAATCGCGTGCTCTGTAATAGAAAGTACATGGCGTTTGCATATGGCGTCGATCCATTTCGACACGCGTTTCCTGCTTTTGCATCGTACTGTTGAATTTTTTCGTGTTTCTTTGGCTTTTTATTCTACTCCTCGCCATAGTTGTAACCGTCCACACC